TGGGAGATTAAGGGACAACAGTAGCTTTAATCTTACCTCCAGCTCCCTTTCCCTCTGCTCCAGAGAGGCTGCCAGCTCCTCATTCTTCTCCAGTAAAGCCCGTCCCAGCTCAGCAGCTAGAATCAGGTCAGTCTCTATGCCTCCTCCACTGTCAGTGCTTCCAGGGGAGGATGTGGATGAGGGGAGACCAAAGGAGAGAGAGACCGAGGAGGAGGGAGAGAGAGGAAAGAACGAGTCCTCCAAGCTGGATGAGGGAAGACTGTTTTTGCTGAACATAGCTGACAGTTGAAGGATCAGTTAAAAAGTACTATCCCAAGTCCTGCAGTTGTGATTCAGTCTCTCTTCAGTGGAAGAGAATGGATAGAGAGTCAGGACTTTCTGTTTCCTGATGGTTTAGTTTACAGGTGTTTGGGTTCCACTTTTGTTATCCATAGTATTCCTTGTGCTTCAGTGTGTGGTCCCAGTGCTTATATCATTCACTTCTTCTTCTCTTCTGGTCTTTACCGGGACATCTTTGGGCAAGAAAAGACATTTAATAACACAGAAAACCTTGTGTGAATATCACACTAGCTGCTTCCTGGTAATATAATCCAGCATGGCCTAAAAGGAGATCTTTTGTCTGACAGGTGCTTTTGTAGCTCTGACCGAAACACCAACCTGCACTATTATCATTGTCTCCTCCCTAAATTCCAGAGGCACTGTGAACTGCTACTTCTTGTGATCACTACAATGTGTTGAGTATTTCAAGTAGACTCTTAAGTAATACGTTTAGGTCAAATTATCAATAAACAATCAGCATAGGCTTAGTCTTAAAAAAAAGCTTTTTGTTTGATAATTCAATGCTATCATGAATAATTCCCAGATTATTTTTATTCAAATTTAGACCGTATAAGGTGAATTTCAGTCACAGTGTAGCAGTGTCAGTATCTGGAGTCTCACCAGCCTCAACTATCAAGTCTGTCACTATTTGCTTCTCACCTGTTATTACCTATTGGTATCATGAATCTGTGCTGACATGCTATTTAAAGTCCTTTAAAATACAAGTAATAAACTCAGTCCTACTTTATTGCCAGTACGACAGTTGACAGAATCCGTGTTAACCTATTTTCCACCAGACTTTGAAAAATGATAAGTTAGGTCTTACCTGACAGCTCTCTGCCACCGCAGGCTAACAGGTACAGTCTTCCTGTTTGGGAGTGTTTGCGCAAGAGAAGCTCAGCTGGTTTCCTTGGTAGTGGAAACGTTCATTATGTAAATAAAGCACATGGCTCCACCTACTGAGTTCCAAAGGTGAAGCGAGGGAAAAAGCAAGAGGAACTGACAGAAAGAACAGGGAATACTGGAAAAGTGGGGTAAAATTAATAGTTGCTGATTGGATATCAGGCAGTTAAACAAGGAAGTGATTAATTCTGGGGAATTCACTGGGGAGGGGTTTGCATTATGTGACAGATGGAAAAGTCTAGGAGACAAGCAGGGGTCTGTCTACTCCCCACCCCCTTTGCCCCATCCTGTTTACCTGCTTGAAGAATTTCAAAGGAGCTCTGTGTGTGCTCATATGACGAAGGGTTGGGGGAAGAAGAAAAAGGGGACTGCTTCTGCTGCACCTTCATTTTAAGAGTGGCCAAACAGACTTACAAGAAGACTGAAAACCAGGACCTTCCTAGCTGAGAAAAAAGGCTTTTCCATCAGTAGGTACATTGACGTAAAGACATGGCTTTTGAACTGTGGTTTGCTCTTTCCCTGTGCCTTGTGTTGGGAACCTCTGAAGCTGGAAAGCAAATGCCTAAACTCTCTGACAAGAAACTCTGTGCTGACTCCGAGTGCAGCTGTAAGTATCAACTGTTTATTTTGCTTCTGAAAAAAAGGTCAGATTCATATCACATTATAGCTCATGACATTTGTCCCTGCACAGATCCTATCTTGATAGCTCGTGCACTGCAGGACTACTACCCTGGAGACTGCAGGTTCATCCCCATCAGGCAGGGGCAGCTTGTCTATGTTTATGCAATGCTAAAAGACAGAGGGAATCTCTTCTGGGCTGGCAGCGTGAGTAAAAGTGACATATTTATGTGGCTATAAATGGCCTGGGCACGGCTCTAACCATAAAACTGTGAAAATGTCACAGGCTTGGGCTTCCATGTGCAGCAAAACATTTAAAAGTTTTGAATGTTATCAAACAAATGTTATCTGCGTCATCTTTTCCCAGGTACAAGACGCCTATTATGGACAACAGGAAGCTCGCATTGGCCACTTCCCCAGTAGCATAGTGGAGGAGACACACGCTCTCATGCCAGCCACAACTGAAGTCAAAACTACTGTAGGTGAACACACACACATGCACATGTGCATATGAATTATTTAGTGCTTTCTCCTGATTCAGTGTATCTTCTTTTTTCCAGAAATGGGACTTCTACTGTTACTGATAATACACTTCCCAAGAAACTTAACTTGATATGATGCACACTGCTGACAGCTTATTTTTATGCATCTAATAACATGAGCGCCAATAGAAGTATGCATAAACTCTGCACAGCAATGAGTGCATGTATTATTATGAAAACGTATTATTATAATTTCATGTCTCCATTGATGGTCTTGCTGTCTTTTGATGACTTAGACATCAGCAGCGGTTCTGCAGCCTTGCTTTGTTGACAGATGAACGATGTACATTGTCTGTAATGCTCCTGTTTATCTGAGGTTTTGCAGATAATAATAAAAGTTGTCCATCGTGCACTTACAAATGAAGGAAACACGACTTGTGCCCTCCTTTTCTCTGCTAAAGCTATTCCTTTTTCGTGAGCGTTGTGTGTCTTATCAACAGGCAATGTCAGATTGTAAAAACTGTTTTAAAAGCAGCAATGAAGTAAGAAATTTCAATTTATTAGAGGGGACTTTTGCATTGTTTAATAAATAAAGCGTGCCGCAAAGCATTTATCTGGTGCTTTTTGAGACCAGGCTAAACCTTCATTCCTGAAAGCTCCAGTTCCCCAATATTAATAAAGTGTCTGAAAAAAATATCAGCAGCTCTACATTCACTGTACATAACCACCCACACCTTTTGCTGCATTGTTGCATTGCACAGGTTCAACTAGTTACTGAAAACATTCTTCATAGATTTTCACATGATATCATCAAACACTTGCTGCATATTGGCTGCACATTCATGACATAAATCTCCAGTTTCACCACATCCCATTGAGATCTGGTGACTGTGGAAGCTATTTGAATACAGCAAACTCATTGTTATGTTCAGGTAACAGGTTTTAGATTATTTAAGTTTTGCCACATGGTGTGTTATTCTTCTGGAAGCATAAGATGGGTACGCTGTCATAAAGGGATGGAAATGATCATTAACAGTACTCAGAAGGCTGTGGCATTTAAATGATGCTCGGTTGGTTCTAAGAGTGCCACAACATCCCCCAAATTGTTACACCACCACCAGCCTGAACAGATACACGGGAGGATGAATCCATGCTTTCACATTGTTTACGTCTAATTCTGATCCTATTTTTTTTAGGTACACCTTTATACAGTGTACCTAATAAAGTGGCAGCAGAAATCAAGACTATTAGATCAGGCAACATTTTTCCTTCTATCTTCCCTTCTTTTACTATTGTCCAATTTTGTCAAGCCCATGTGAATTGTAATTGACAGGTGAAGGACCTAATATGGTTTTTTGCTGCTGTAATGGCCTGTATTTGTATAGCGCTTTACTAGTCCCTAAGGACCCCAAAGCGTGTTACACATCCAGTCATCCACCCATTTGCAAACACATTCACACACTGCAAGCTACATTGTAGCCACAGCCACCCTGGGGCGCACTGACAGAGGCGAGGCTGCCGGACACTGGCGCCACCGGGCCCTCTGACCACCATCAGTAGGCAACGGGTGAAGTGTCTTGCCCAAGGACACAACGACCGAGACTGTCCGAGCTGTAGTTCATCTGCTTCTGATTCCTACTCTGAAACTTCAGCAGATCATCTGGACCATGACCATGAGTTCTTGCCATTTGATTGGCTGATCAATATTGATGTTAATGAGCTACTGAACACCTCATTAAGTGGTCAGTGAGTGTATGTTGTTATTTGAAATCCATTTGAGAACAGCAACACAATAGACAGAAGAAAACCTTGACAATGATTCAAAAACACACACAACCGACCTGTGAACTTGAATCTCCATATTTATTCTATTTGCTGTTGTCAGTGTTAATATTCCAAAAGGCTTAACAAAGATAATAGAGTTGTAATTCTTGCATCTACAAGTATAAATGCGCTCACGTACATTCACAATCATACTACCCTTAGCAGCTCAGAGGTCATGTTCCCCAGTGAAAAAGGGGCCCTGTCTGTTTCTCTCCTTTGTCCACAACTTTGCTTCTTGCTCATTCGCTCTCATTCTCTCAACACGCCTGGTCCCGAGGCCTTTGGTGGCTTTTTCTTCTTCTTCTGTTTATTTATTTAGTTTTTTTTTTTTTTTACTAAAAACAAACGGGCTGTCTGTGCCTCCAGAAAACCTCCTCCTCACACATGCAGAAACCAATGCTCTTCCCACAGAATGAACACAGCACATTTGGCATCTTACTAATACCTGCTCACTCTGCTCTGTGTGCTGAAAATACATCTTTGGTTAGTGTGTTAGCACCTTTAGTGGATAGTACTGATTAGTATTAGTATTTCTCTGCAGAACCAGTAGATGCTGCAAGCTTCTCTGGGTTCAGTTACTAACTAGCACATTTGCCACTGAAGTGAAAGGTTGCTAGAGACATTGTGTTTCTCTAAATGCCTGATGGTGGTTATGAATTTGTCTTTGGAAATACTGTTACATGTGCGACTGTATTTTGCGTAGAAGCCTAATCTGTTTGTTTATGATAGGGAAATGAACTCTTGGGAGCTCAATATCCTGGAGCTCACCATGATGTGTCTATAAAAGCTGTACTGTCAAAAACAGACTGTTACACGAGCTCTACAGTTTTGCTGAGACAACACAATAATAGTGAGTTAGGGGTTAGGAACTGTTTTATTAGACAGCAGTTTTAGACATCTAGAACTGTATGACTACTCTATATATATGTACGGCACTGCCAACATAACAGACAATATAAAGGGTTAATAGTAAAGCAGCATCTGGTGCGTCAGGCTCTGCTCTACATTTTCTGTTTCTGTGTTCCATCTTCACAGGAAATAGGAATATTGCGCTCCGGCCCAGGAGATGACCGAGGTGCTGTGATTGTCAGTACACCATCACACGACAGACTGGAGGTGACCTCGGCACCTGTCACACCAGAAGGAAGCCTGTACTTCCTCAGAAACTCTCTTGACACATAGCCGTGGTCATCCTGAAACAGAATTAGTGAGTGCATCAGAACAGTGTGGCTAAATTTATTTTCTGGTGTTAAATTTGCTCCTCTGACCTGTCTGTCTTCATGTTTGCCGTGTATTGTGATGAAATCATCACTAACGCTGACAGACAGCTCATCAGGGGAGAAATGCTTCACATCCACATAAATGACATAGCGATCCTTTTCCAAGCGCATCTAAATACATACAGTAGAGCAGTGAGTCAGCCTGGGATAAAAACCCATACAAATCTTGTTTAATGAAGGACTGGCACCTGAAAATTACACAAACACTCATGATATCAGTGGAGGTTTTGACTCTGATGATCATTAATCCAAACCTCACAAACGAAAGGCCATAAAACACTGACATTTGTGTGTAACTCCCATGATGTAATAATCTTAATTACACAGGTGAACTGTACTCTACCTCACTGTGTCCATTGTCGGGCCAGTTGAACCAGCGCATAAACAAAGGGCGCATCCAGGGGAAGGACCAGGAGAATGGCCACATCATTGGCCAGTCAGTGAGAGGTTCTGCCATGGAGAGGTCAGGAAATCGATGTGGGAACGCCCGGCGGTACCAGGGATACTGGATGGGGATATCCATGGTGAGATTCCAAGAGGGTTGTAATAAATGACGAGGCAGGCTGACTAGGTCTGATTTGGTTTGAGATGGGTGCTGCTGTGCTCTCCTGCACTGAATTTATAGGTCTTTCCCTCCCATCCAAGCCAGACTTTGCCTCTGTTCACCACCTCTGCACCCACTCCCCTCCGTGACCTCCCATGCACACTTGCATATGGACTCTGCCAACAGCCTGATCTTTCTGGAACAATGATGTCAACTGTTTATCCCTCCATCATTCCCATTGTTTTATCTGTCTGACTGAGACTGGTTCTCTCCCTCGCCGTTACCCTCTATCTGTCCCTGTTCTCTCGGTCATGAGGTGACACTGGCTAGGAATACTGCTGACATCCTCCATGCTCATTCCCCAGGAAATGCTCCTGTCTGGTGTGTGTGTGCCTGTGTGTGTGTTTTTGTGAGGGTTTGTTTGAGGAATAGCTGCCAGAGCATTAGCCTGCTGTGCTCTGAGTGCCAGGAGCTTTAGGTTTGTGTGTGGAGTGGATGTGTGACTGAATGGGAACTGATGAGTTTGTAAGGGCCAGCATTAGATGACACTGTGCGTATCATTTTGCTATGAGCTCAGATGTAAAATATGAAGTCCTTTGCGTTGGTTGTGCCAATAAATTTCTTTCATCCTCCCAGTCATGTTAGTACTGAAGGCTATATGCATTAAATTATATCTGCAAGCATAGAGGTTCATCAGAGGCTTTTAAACCATCACACCATGAATTTTAGTTTTAGTGCTTTGCAGACCAAGCCCAGGCACTGTGCCTGAGCCAAAGACCAGTCCAATCAAAGCTGGAGTTTTTATCTATCATTAATATAAATGCCCAATATAAATGTTAGGTTTATGGACAGGTCGAAATGAATTCAAGTAAGAAAGCAATAAAGTCACTCCAAGGTACTAAAGCATGAGCATGGCAGGTACCAGTAAAAGCCCTGACTGTAGTGAATTAAAGGATTTGTATTTTACTGATTATAAATGAAAGCTTTGTAAGTGTAAGACATTATATGTTTAATCAGTCTTTGTTAAACTGTTACCTTTTTAAAACTGTCCAAAAGCTCAGCAGAAATATGTGCTGAACCTTTTTCTTTTCTTGCCCTTAAGGCCTTTCAGGAAGGCTCTCCAAAACGTGGTTAACGTTGTTTATCGCAAATTATAAGTTTTCCCTAAACACGGGAAACTAGTTTTCATTCTTAAACCCAACAAAAGAATAGAAAAGAAACAAAGAAAAAGACAGGAAATACGGTATCCACAAAGTCGGCCCTATTAGCGTCGCTTGTTACCATGGTGATGTGTTTTGTCCCGGTCTCTTAGACTGGAGCAGTTTTGTTGGTGTAGTTGGAAATAACCAACATAAATGTGCTAGCCGGTCAGAATCGTTTTTGTGGACGCAGAAATGGATTTACCAGCGTCGTATTATGGGGAACTTGATCAAAGAAACCCAGTACTTTCAGCTTTTAAGCGAGAGATTAACTCGTTTATAACGCTGATGAAACAAGTGGCTTCGTCGAACAACCAGGACAACAGCACTTATGCTAAAGGGTGAGATGCTAAAAAGCCAAGTCAGCGCTAGCTTATAAAGCTCATATTGACTTATTATAGGAAACTTTAGCTTATTAAATCAGGCTTATTTAAATAAATTTTTATAGCTAGTTGCGTGCAGTTTTTATTACCGTCATTGTTCCACTAAAATGTATTTATAATAAATGATACACTGTGTAGCTTATAATTATTATGGTGTTTATGATTTGACCATAATATATAGAAATGTTTGATAAGGTCCAGTTACTAGGCTTGTACTTAAGAAAAGTCTTGAGTGCACCATTTACATTTTTTTGCTTTGCTATAACTGCAGCACAAATCTGCTGTATAAAGCAGGATTGCAGTGGCCTTTAATAATAACTTCAATATCATACTGCAAGATATACTTTTTAGCAGACGCTGACAGTTGCTGCTAGCCAGCATCATTAAAAAAAAACAGAACAACCGAGTCGTCAGCGTACATCACAGCATAATTAAAGGCTTTTTCCTATCATGCATCCACTGAATGTCCTTGTTTAACTTTTTAAAAAGATCATGTAGAAAATGAAAATAACAATGTTCAGTTTGTCAGTATCCCAAAAAACAGATTTGAACATATTTTTAATTACATAGATCTTGAACCAGTTAGAGATCGCTTGGTGTTGATGTTCGCTTATTTATGTTATTTATTTTAAAGCTATGCTTTTCTGAATTCATTTTCCAAGGATTAAAATTCTGGTGGCGATATGGAAAAAGTTCAAACATCGACTGCCTTTGAAACTGTACCAGGAGCACATGTTGCAGATTGCAGATTTTCTCTTTGGAATAAAGGTATTTGACAAATCCCCCAAATTAGAATACCTACTAATATTTGGTTACCACAGACTTTTTCTTTGATTAAATATTAATTCAGTCTGTGCGACACAGTTTTTTCAGTCACTATTGTCAGTCTTGGTTGCTGTGAATTCTTTGTTTTACTACTTGACTCATTGGTTTTGTTCTCAGTATTTGCAATCTTGGTTTTGCTGCAGTAAAACTATAAGAAGCCTTTGGATATGTTGTCTTCTGCGCATTAATTACATGTTAACACATTCACAGTGTTATTTCTCTTCCCTCTGTTTCTTCAAGCTGTACCAGCTGGCTCTAAGGCAGGGCTACAGTCTCCACCTGTCACAGTTCAGCTCAGTGAAAATAACTGACATCACAAATGTGGATCAGTTTATGGCCTGCTTCTTCCCCGAAGGGCTTGATACAGACCAAAATACCTTTGCCATGAAGGTAAGGTACACATCACTGTGTGACTGTGTGTGTCCTGTGTATCTCTGTTTAGAATGTTGTGTAATAACAGGATTTGCTTTGTTGTTTTATGCTACAAAGAAAGTTTACTACATTGGCTGAGGTCATTGACATTTTGAGACATTTTTATTAAAAATCTGCTATTATTCTGTATGTATCCATGTGTCTGCGCCTGTGTGTCTGTCCTCTATATGTGTGTGTTTGTGTCTGTGTGTGTACAGGTACGTGCCATGCAGGGGTGTGCCCTGTGTATATTTGAGCTGGAGAGACAGCACAGTTTCCTCAGCCAAAAGGGGCTCTGTAAACTGCTGCGTGTGCTGAACTTCATGAGGACCATGATGCAGGCATTTCAGCAACACGAGCACCTCTACTGGCAGATATATAATGGTATATTAGAAGAACTTGTATAATTCAGTGTGATATTTCTATCTAGGAGTAATCTTGGTAGAACAAACTGAGCTCTCAAAATTTGAAGATAAAAATGAAAATGAACTGTTCATAAACTGTTTATCTACTATTGTATTAAGTAGTAATGTATTTCTATCTCTTGTCATCCAGGTTCATTACACATTTACAATGTCTGCCGTTATTTGATGACTATGCAGTGCAGCGCGCAGGTACTGTTCATTCCTTCCACTTTTCACTTCTGCTACTCATTCCTAAAGCAGGGATGTCAAACATAAGGCTCACAGGCCAAAATCAGCCTGTCAAGGTCTCCGATCTGGCCCACTGGTTTACTTTAAAAAATGTGAAGAAAGGCATACATTTGGGGTTTTTAACTGTGATTTGTAAGTTTTACAACTTTTCCTAATGATAAAGACCTCATCTATTGCCATTCATACTACATCAAAGTAAGCAGTAGATAAGCAAACAAGTTCCAAGTTTTTTTTACTCAATCAAAGTGGGCTGTATCTGGCCCACGATGTGAAATGAGTTTGACACCCCTGCCCTAAAGGAAAATAAAAACATGAAGGATGGTGAGAAAATCATGTGTGACAGAGACTGAATGTCTAACTGAATGTTGGAATATGGCTTTGGACTGATCGTGAGTGACAATATTTCAGTTTTAGTTGATTGAGCCTCTGCACATTGCAGAACACACAACTAAATCTGTGTAATATTGTTATATAATGAATGTAGTGTATAATAAAATTGTGTAGTTGTCTTTTTAATACTTTGTGATACTCACAGCCTCCGTTTGTCATCCTATTCAGGCACTGGAGTACCTCCTGTGGGCAAGCATCAGTTTGGAGTTGTCCATCCCTCTGATGACAGCTAAGTATCTGCCAGTGATTGTCACACTCTACTGTGCCGTCTGCCAGTGTTACTATGACAACCATGCTGAGGTGCAGGCGGAGGTGAACTACGTCAGCGTCAGACACCTACAAATACACGATTTGATCCATCACAGGCTGATCTAATCAGTAATAAATGCTAATTGTAACTTGGTGTTGATCTTTATGTAATTTCCTTAGCCTGCCTGCTGTTAATCAGCACAAGGCACTAAATTATTCCTCATGCTTGATTGTACAAAAAGAAAGTCTTGCTGGTATGGTTAACCCATGAGTATATTTGCTAACTACATTTGTTTGTATATTTTATTTTGAAATGCAACCATCATATTGTTGCAATAAAAGTTAATTGGATTTGTGTGTCCTCAAATGCTTTCAGGAATTTGCCCGGAGAGCCCTTGGAAAAATCAACGAATTAGCAAAACTCGGGGAGCACAGTGAAGTTCCTGCCACCAGAGAGACTCAGAGAGCTTACAAAGATGCCTCCATCAAGGCAAGAAACTTGTCCTTGAGATACATCAGCAGACTATGTTGTTGGGATAAAATGCTGTTGTTTCTCAGTGTGTTAGATACAGCAATTTCCATACTTACATGCTCACAACTGAATATAGTCACTTCTGAAGAAGCTTACTTACCTTGTCAGTGTTTTACAGTATCGATGTGCTCTTCTTTGGTTAACATATGAAAGGTGATTGAGAGCGTTCTGTTTTTCAGCTTGGTGCCATGATTTTCAAGCGAGCAGCATTTGAGACCCGAAAGAGACCCAAAACCCTGTACAAGACCAAAATCAAAAGCACCCTGAAGGACATACCTAATGTAATGGGATCTGCTTTACTGCCATATCATCATATTTAATGTTAATTCTTACTTTTAAATGCAGTGTAATTTAGGGGCTCTTGTTAGTTGTTTAACGCTGTATACTGTGTTATCACCTTTAAATCTTCCATCACTCTATGCATTGCCTTTGTTGG